TATCAATTTAAAAAGCTAGGGATGCCAATTCTAGACAATGTTAACTCTAGACATAAAAACAAGTTTGCCTCCCTCTCCTAAATTATACTTACTAATCAGTGCATAGGACTATTTCTTAAGGGTCAGTATTTCAAAACTATTTCATTTCACTATCAACAACATAAAATTGTAGTTTGCTTTATAGGTTTCCTCTTGCCAATTTATTCTTTAGTGAATAACATGGAAATGAGATGAACTACTAAGATTATATGTGGTATTAATGCAAAGCGAAAATGCTGCCTAAAGCATGTTTTATATAACTGCAAATAAAAATGCTAAAAAAAAAACCAGACACCGACTGAATCTTGTATTTTAACCTCCTCTACCTAAAGCAAGGATCCACATAATCATTCTGGCTTCCAAGTGGACTAAAGGGCTGGCATAAAGTGGGTTTCACCATCTTTCCTTCCAGTGAAATGGCCTTCTGAGTAAGGGGCTCACACATGACATCACCTTGGAAGGAAGGGGATGAGCAGGAGGGAAAACTATCAGATGACTGGCTTCAAGTTCAAATTCTTTACAGTGGGCCTGAAACTGGTACGCTTTCCACTGCAGGCAAGACACAAAGTTTACTTTCTTTCCTAACTTTAAAGCTGCCAGAATACACATGTACTTTTACTTTCTTAGGAGAAAATGTGTCATTTGATTTCCTTCCAGTTTATGTACTCGTGCCAACAACCAAAACGCTTAAAGAACCAAAATGAATTAGTATTCAGAAACGGTGGTCAAAGTTTCAAAATTTGATCAATAAAATTGCTCATCTACTCACAAATTAATCTTCAGCTAGTAAAATAACAAATTTTCGAGGTTATGAGTACACCTGCACTGTTAAGCATTTATTTCACTTGTTTAAGCAATCTTCAGAAATACATAAATATTTATAAAAGAGAGCCTAGGCTGGGCGTGGTGGTTCATGCCTATAATCCTAGCACTTTGGGAGGCCAAGGCGGGCAGATCACCTGAGGTCAGAAGTTCAAGACCAGTATGGTCAACACAGCAAAACTCTGTCTCTATTAAAAATACGAAAATTAGCTGGGCATGGTGGTGCATGCCTGTTGTCCCAGCTACTCTGGAGGCTAAGGCAGGAGAATCACTAGAACCTGGGAGGCAGAGGTTGTAGTGAGCCAGTATCGCGCCACTGCACTCCAGCCTGGGTCAAACAGTGAGATTCCGTCTCAAAAAAAAACAAACCATCAAACAAACAAAAAGCTTACTATTTTTACTCATCTGTAATTTTCTTTTTACAGCAAAACCTTGTTAATTTGTTTACAACTCATAAACCTCCTGAAGGCAGAGTCTGTCTCTTCAATAGTTCCGTATCCTATGAACACCAGCTCAACACCCAGCTTGCCTTGGAAATGTTCAACCAACTTGCATTCAATTAATTCAGATCATTCTGATTCTGAATTTATGATGGGGCCAATTTTCAATTTTCATTTGTGTCATTCATAAAAAGATTTGCAAAGCAAATGAACAGAATAAGTAAAAAGATAATTTTGGTTACTAAGTAGAATATTTCTCAAAAACTTCTGAAGCAGTATCTATACCTGCTTAATGCCTTCATTAATAAACCACATCACCCAAGAATGTGACCTGCTCAGATTTGGTTCAGTATGTGGATCTGCAGTGTCATTTCTCTCTTATTTACTCTCATCTCCCGAAATTAGAACAAATTGGTGATGTTTGACTACATTTTGTGATCTCTATCGAGTAACCACTTATAGCCTCCTCTAACTTTCCATTTTCTTTTGTTTGTATCATCAGCCTGTGAAACCAGAGAGCGCTGCCAAACACAAAGCAGGGAAGTGTGAGATATGCTTAAAATATGAGTCACAGTATATTTGGGGATTTGGGTTTCTTTTTTTTTTCCCCCTCAAGCTATCAGCAGATCAAATCCTTCTTCCCTGTCAAGCCTTCTTCTATGCAGAAGATCTGAAATTTGCTAAAATCGGTCTCCCAGTGTAGTTATGAAGGGTGAGAAGATCAGAGATGAGCACTGTTAAGATTTGCTGTAGGATTTCCCTTTCATTTCAGAGCCACTCCGGCGGAGATGCCTCAGCGAGGATGCAGTATGGCAAGATATATTTAAATATGAAGGTTATTCCTTCTGTGAATCACCAAGTCTATATGCGTATTTTTATAATGAGGTAATATACCATGTGGCCTAGGATAGTAATTTCTCCTCTCTGTTTGTGGAAGGCCAGCCAAGCTAATAAAGCTTACTGAATGTGCATGACCTATCAGGCAGCTGAGGGGTGCTTCAGCAATTGTCTGTGATACACACACACACACACACACACACACACACACACATACCAGTCCGTCAATCGTTCAGATTCTTTTCCCCCTGGCCAACTTTGAAAGCTGGTCTAAATTCTCTGCTTGTCAACTCCTCTACTTGGGGGGTAGGGAAAAACTCAAGACATCTTCTTTAGCAAAACCAGCATTCAAGCTTACCCCTTCTCCCCCCACTTTTTATACAGACTGAAGTGCTCAGCAGAATGTGTGAGGTTGGTTTTGACACTGTCCTTGCCAAGAAAAACGAAGCCCTCTATATCATACTCTTCTGCATGGTGGCTAAAAACCCTGTAACAGGCAAGAAGAAAAAGAGCCCTCAAAAGGAAATCCCCTGAAACTTTACTTCTTATATTTAGCCCTCAAGGAACTTCATTCAACTTGGAAAAGAAGTTACCTAAAAATGCCATATGTTTTTAAAAAGCAAGTATGAGGGAAAATAATTCTACCATAAAAAAATCACAAATGATATTCAATACTGAAGAGCAGTGTGATCAGACAGATTGTGTATGTGTGTATTTTTTTATTATCTCTAACCAAAGCTCTAGTATGTGTAAGATTTTTCCCCCCAATAATATATTTTCATTTTCCCAATGCACTTGAGGTCTGATGAATTCAAGAGGACTCGGGGTATTTTTAAGGCTGTGAGAGCTCCAAGAGGGAGGCAAAAAGAATGGACCATCATTTGAATCACTGAGTGACAGGCTGGGCTAGCTCCCTGTATACATTAATAAATTAGAATTTTAATTGTGTCTCTGTCCACAGGAGATGCCCCGGTGCTTTAATATGTACCAACAATTGGCTATGTTATGGAATCTGCAATGTGGCCTCCGCTGCTGACCTCTGAAACACAATTCCCAGTCTGACTATGGAAACTGTTCAGTTTGATCCTTTCAACTTATTTGAATCCTGACAAATAAGCTCACAGCTGAAAGGTCACCATAGTCATATTTCATCCTCCAGAGCTATTCTTAAGACATCTGCACAACAAAGCACTTCTTATATTACCTGACATGGGCCCTCAATGGCACTGTACCTCATTAAAAATGTCCCCTGCATGCGCATGTGTTCCAAGGCTCATGGTCCGATGATGGTTTACCAAATAAGTGTTTACAGAAGAGTTAGTAAACAAGGCACATTGTCAACTTTTCCAGTAAAGTGTCACTATAGTGCAGAAATCTCTCTGGAAAGTGACAGTCTCCCAAGTACATATAGAAGAACCAGAACTTGTTGGTCAAGGTCAGTTTGATCTTTGTGGATAATTTGGGAACAGGTTGTGATTCACCCTGACCTCTGAAAAGTCAACACAAGCTAGAATTTAGGTTGACCTCATTATCCAATTAATTGGCACCCATACACCTATCAGCCACTGCTTTCAGATTCTGTCCCCTGCTGTGATAGGGGTGCCCATCTTCAGCTATGAATATAGTCTAAACCACTTAGGACCAGGGTGCCAAGTGCCCTCTCTGAAATGTGAGCATGAAGATCCTGATTCAAGTTTCTTAGAAATTTCTATTACAATTTTCTACTTTAGGTCAAAAGTCCAAATTAGGTTTCTTTTTTTTTTTTTTGAGATGGAGTTTTGCTCTTGTTGTCCAGGCTGGTGCAATCTTGACTCACTGTAACCTCTAATTCCCGGGTTCAACTGATTCTCCTGCCTCAGCCTCCTGAGTAACTGAGACTACAGGCACCTGCCACCACACCTGGCTAGTTTCCGTATTTTTGGTAGAGATGGGGTTTCACCATGTTGGCCAGGCTGGCTCCTGACCTCAAGCGATCCACCTACCTCAACCTCCCAAAGTGCTGGGATTACAGGCGTGGGCCACCGTGCCCAGCCCAAATTATATTTTTATAAATTTACTGCTTCTTCCACTCCATTAAACCCTTGCCTTCAATGTGCCTGAAATCAGAAGTTGCTAGAAAATCCTTTTTTGTCATCTTTACATAAAAATTTCTTCCCATTTAAAAATTATTGACTTAGAAACATTCTGAACATATCCACTGAAGAATAGGGTATATCTTATAATCATTATAAGCTATAATATTAAGAGTAACACATCCTCCTCAGGCCTAGTGATAATTCTTGATTCCATTGACATTCTGGGATGAATCATGGTATGTTGCATCCTGTGCATCACAGGATGTTTGGCAACATCCCTGGCCTGTACCTACTGGGTGCCAGCAACACCTCTGCCCTGCTAGTTGTGGCAAACAAAAATGTCTCCAATGCTGCCCATTGCCCCGGGGGTGGCGGGAGGTGGGGTGCACAAAATCTTCCCTATTGAGGATAACTACACTAAAGCAAGGTATGTGTCTGTGTGTGTTTATCCCATTTCTAGACCCAACATGAGAGAATGTGGTGACAATTCTGAGTACCATGAACTTTACTCATTGGTAACCGACACTGCCTGTTAGCAACTCAACACCTACAGGTCCTCATCCTTCTATCATATTCACTCATCAGGAGATCTTACTCCTGACAATAAAACCTTTGGGCAAATACACATTTTCCCCAAAATGATCTTCTTTGCTGGTAAACCAAAAATACAGTTTCCGCAGAAGATTTTCTTACATGATTTGCAATTCTCGACACAATCCACTCCTGAACTGCTTATCAGTTATCCCAAAGGGTATAATGTCAATCTAAAAAGAAAAAGAACTGTTACCTGAAGAGCTGGTTGTTTGTCATTCCTCTTGGGAGATTTTAATCCACTAACTTGCTGCTGCTGTTGCTGCTGAAGAAGGAGCTGTCTTGCCACCTGAAGTGCCTGGAAGGAAAAACAGAAGAAAATCCTTTGTGTTACTATACAGGTTCAGGGGACTCTTCATAAAAAAAGGACTCCAGGAAGTGCACTTTGGGGCTGGGTCCTGACTTTCCTATTTCCTGGCAAATGAAACAGCAAACAAAACTTCCCACCAGTCTTAGTTGGAAAACTTTCCAGAATTCGTTTGCATTTCCCTTGGCTGGGCCGATTTCATCCACAGTTCTACAGGCATCTAAGCAGACATTTTACTACATTTTATTCCTACTAACAATCTCATAGGAAATTTAAGACCATGAGTGACTGGGACTCTGCAGAAGGATGAAAGGGAGACCAGGAGGGAACCAGGCAAAGAAGAAAACTTGGGAGACACTACAGGGCCCCTTTCAGGGGCACCTTCATCCTCCCCCAATTCTTCGGGAAATTTAAGGACTCAAGTTGAAAGTAATACTTTCACCCCATCTGAGTCCAAATGAAGAGAAAGAACTACGTGGCGGACCACAGGAAGAATATACACTATGGGTTGGGCTATCTAGAAAGGAAGATGAAACAGATGGGACATACCTAGGATGACCTTCACATTGACCTAGAATTTGAGAGGAAAATTTGGTAAATCTGACCTCTAGTCATCTTAAAAAGCTGTCTTAAGATGACCTGAAGTCATCTTGAAAAGGGCTATCTAGGAAGGAAGATGAAACAGATGAGACATACCTAGGATGACCCTGACCTTGACCTAGGATTCGGAGAGGAAAATATGGCAAATCTGGCCTCTAGTCACCTTAAACAGGAATATTATATATCTCTGAACAAAACTGGGTACGTTTATTACAAATGACCCTTTCAAGTTTACAATATGGGATGGTTTTTCCCTAAAGGTAGACACTGGGGAGGTAGTATGAATTGGAGATAAAGTAAGAAGAAAACAGAAGACTTCTCCAAAATGTTTAACATATGACTGACAAATCTTTTTAAACATTCATGTAGGCTGGGTACAGTGGCTCATGCCTGTAATCCCAGCACTTTGGGAGGCCGAGGTGGGTGGATCAGTTGAAGGAGTTCGAGATCAGTCTGACCAACATGGTGAAACACTTTCGCTATTAAAAAGACAAAAAATTAGCTGGGCATGATAGCATGGGCCTGGAGTCCCAGCTACTTTGGAGGCTGAGGCAGGGGAATCACTTGAACTGGGTAGGCGGAGGTTGCAGTGAGCCGAGATCGCACCACTGTACTCCAGCCTGGCAACAGAGCAAGATTCCGTGTGTTTGTGTGTGTGTGTATATATATATATATATATATATATATATATATATATATGTATATGTATATATATATATATATATATATATATATATATATATATATGTATATGTATATATATATATATGTATATGTACATATACATATGTTTATATATAGTGTATATATATATGTGTGTGTGTGTGTGTATAAAAATTAGCTGGGCATGGTGGCAGATGCCTGTAATCCCAGATACTTCAGAGGTTGAGGCAGGAGAATCACTTGAACCTGGGAGGTGGAGGTTGCAGTGAGTCGAGATCACGCCACTGCACTTCAGCCTGGGTAACAGAGTAAGCTCCCATCTCAAAAAATAAAATAAAATAAAATAAAAGTTCATGTAAAAAGGAAAAACCAATGTCATCAATAAACCCCCATGAAGACATTTACTGCCAAGGAATTAAGAACAGGAATAATGGCTAGCCACACACCTTTCCAAAAATAGCAGAAGGATCAGCAACAGAAAACTAAAGTTTGCAGATACTGTACTAGAAAGTCATATGAAAAGTTGGGTTACTTGAGAACCAAGAAAGTACGTATGGCAGAGATGTCCAGAATACTCATTAAGTGATGTGCGTAGAGTTTAGAGACAAAATAAGCCTTCTTGAGTGTTACATCCATAATAATTTCTATATGGTAACCAACTTATTTATGCATCAAAGAAGAGGCACAACCAGATGTAAGTCAATGCATCAAAAGGACCTGAGGCTATAGTCTTAGAAACCTAGCATAATGGACTTACGATGGTAGTGTGTTCCTTAAAAAGGAACAGGTGTTTCATTTATATAAGAAAATAACATGTATATTTACAAGAAAAGTTACAGGGGCAATGGTGGAATGGAAGAGAGGTAAGAGCGCCTTGGTGTCCCTGTGGATTGAACTCAGAAGAAAGAGAAAACAGAGTGGGTCAAGATGATTCGTGGTCATGAGCAAACACCTAAAAATGTGGAATGTGCAGAACAGTACTTCTAAAAGGACAAGCTCACTGAACTGCGTTCGTAACTATAGTTGTAACAAAGGATATTTTTAAGACACTGCGTAAGGTTGAGTGGCGCCTTTGTGTTTAAGAGGTGCAAAGGAAAGCTAAGAAACAGAAGGACTGACAGATGAGTGACAAAGAAAGGAGCATGGGAAAGTGGAACCCTGCTATCCTACCTCCTTACTGCAGCCACCCCCATGTCCCAGGGAGGTCTTCTGCCTACTCAACTCACCATGACCGGCCCTTCAGATGTAATGTATGGGCTAGTTCATCTGTGAAGGGAGAGACAGATTCATAAAACCTCCCTGGAAGAGCCTCGAGAAAAGGGGCTGTCTGAGTGGGGCATCTGGAAGCCAAGGCGCCTGGGAGAGTTGCCTGAGACTCCAGCCTGCTGTCTCAGGGAGGATTCACCATCACTGGACTCCGGGTTTCCTTGTCTCCTTGGAGACGCTCAGTACATGCGTAGGTGTAAAAGTGGGCAGAGTGAAGATTTCATTTATATCATATAAGAAAAATAGTCCCCTTTGCAAGGTGCCTGCAGGAGCAAAAGCCTCTCCTCCTACTATATATGTTCCCTTAGCTATTTCACATGAAGGTTTTATGGCTTTTTAATGTAGAAAAGGGAACTGTTATATATTTTAAGTGCTATCATCAGAGTTCTCAGAGTAATAAACTGATCAGCAAAGAAGGGTTTGGTTGTCAGTAGGAAAGGCAGAGAGAGGGACTATAGATGACAGTGCAGAGAAAAATATGGTGGGAAAGAGGAGAAAGGTTACATCCATTTAACACTAAAATAAAGCAAGCAAAGAAAAACAAGTCATGAAGACCCCCTATAACTTACCACATTTCACCAAATACTGGGAGAACGGGTACTTGATTTTTAAACAGTGAAGTCTCAGAGAAGCTATAGTCAACTCTTCACTTCAGCAAAGTGTCTTTAAGAAAAACATTCACACAAAACTATTCTGTCCTCTTCTTCAGAGGGATTCTTGCTCTGTTGCCCAGGCTGGAGTGCAATGGCATGATCTTGGCTCATTGCAACCCACCTCCTGGGTTCAAGCAATTCTCCTGCCTCAGCCTCCTAAGTAGCTGGGACTACAGGCACTTGCCAACGTGCCTGGCTAGTTTTTGTATTTTTAGTAAAGACGGGGTTTCACCATGTTGGCCGGGCTGGTCTCCAACTCCTGACCTCAGGTGATCCACCCATCCCGGCCTCCTAAAGTGCTAAGATTACAGGCATGAGCCACCACGCCTGGCCATCATAACACTATTCTTACATAAGCATGGTTTCATAAATGTACATAAGCAAAAGAAAGTATAGAACTTAAAGCTAAGTTTTCAACAAATGCTTACTAAGCTGGTTCTACAGAATGACCATATATTTCAATGTAAGCTACTGGAATCCTCAGATTTATTTTTCTGGTTGGAAGGGGGTAAAAAATGATGTATACTATATATTTTTCAGACCCCACATAGGGTACATGAACTTAAATAACCATATTGTAAACCCCAGCTTCTGCATAGCTTTTCATACAGAGGCCCACTAAAGATGACAATCTGAGCTAAAAGCATGGCGGAAAGGGCTTGCAAATTTGTGTGACCCCAAGGGAAACTATAGCTGACCTATTGAACAGAGAACACCATAAGAAAGATAAGCAAACTGGCTTCCAAATTTCAGCTCCCAAATGAATAAACACAGGTAAAATAACTTTAAATATTTGGGATGGGGAGGTAACACTAGTGGAGAAAATAATTCATTTTGATATGAATCATCCTACAATAATTCTCCGTCTTTATCCTGGGTATGTTAACAGAGTAGGAGCAAATTATTATCCATACCCTCCCCAAATTAAAATCCATTTAAAAATTGCCTTAGGTCTCAGCAGGAGTTTTAAAACCTAACTGACAGAACTTATGCTTTGAAATCAACCACTAAAATATGTTTTCTGTTCTAATTTCCATGATACACAAATCACTGTGGTCTAGATTTTAAATTGTCACATGCAAGAAGAGGCAATAAATCCTTAGTGTATAAGACTATGTATCTGGGCATTACAGTACACATCTCTGGCATCTACCATTTGTAAAAAGTAACAAGTGCTACTTATAATGCTCATTGTTGATCAGTGGAAAATGTGGAATGACTGATGGGATCCCCTTTGGAAACTATGTCAGAGACCTATGTTCACCATGTTTCCTGTAGATGATGACTCGACAGTCATTTTTACCTGTTATGTGCATCAGAACAGATTATGTCCTTCATCTCAGATTCCACTGACTAAACCCCAGTGATAATCTTTTTTTTTTTTTTTTGAGGCAGGGTTTCACTCTGTTGCCCAGGTTGAAGTGCAATAGCACAATCACGGCGCACTGTAGCCTTGACCTTCGGGGCTCCAGCAATCCTCCCATCTCAGCCTCCTGAGTAGCTGGGACTACTCAGGAGTAGTCCATTCCCAGCTGATGTTTTCATTTTTGTAGAGACTGGTCTCACTGTGTTGCCTCAGCTGGTCTCAAACTCCTGGGCTCAAGTAATCCTCCTACTTTGGCCTCAAGCAATCCTCCCACTTTGGCCTCTCAAAGTGTTGGGATTACAGGTGTGAATCACTGCTGCGCCCAGTCAGAGATTATCTTTATTCCAATACAGTTGAGGAGTGAGAACTTTTATAACAATATCTCAATCACAATTGGAGAAAAGTCCCTTAGGATACATTGTTTGAAGATAAAATTAGATTCT